CCACCCCTAAAATATATATATATATATAAATACCCATGCAAACACCCTGTGCAATAATACTACCATAACTTTTTTTTTTTACTATATATACTGCACTGTATAAATATCATGCACCTTTTTCTTCTTTTGGCACCTTCTTCTTCTTCTTTGACTATTTAAGCTGATGTAACGAGTAAATTTCTCCACTGTGAGATCAATAAAGTCCATCAATTGATCAATCAATCTCAAATATGTTATTTTATTGAGATTTTTTATTTTAAATGTGTTTTATTTGCTTTCAATAATACTGGATGAACCAAAGCTCTGCTAACAGCAGAAAGTCTCAGCAGAAGCAGAGCGCTAGATCACAACCAACAGCCTGACAGCATCTCAGAGCGACAGACCCTGTCTGTTAATGATAGCTCTACATCTCTACTCACTGGAAATCAGACGTGTTTCATTCATTTTATTCAGGTTCCTGTTTAAAATGTTAAACAAATATATTCAGTGAGTATTTAATACTTAGACGTTGACTTAACTTTGGGATTACTCCTTCAGGGAAATTCTGGTTCCAGCAGCTTATAGTAAAAAGAGTTAAAGCAAGCAGAGTTTATACAGGAAGCAGTGACTCTAATTCCTGGTTTCCAGCCACTTTTGTTAAAATTTGCATTTTCTCATTCTCTTGCCTTTTCTCCGCCTCAAGCTTTTTTTCCAAACATAAAGCTTTACGATCAACCGGAAGCAGTTCCTTAAAAAACACACACAACCAGTTACATCTGATATTCTATATCTGACTAAACTGTTTTCCCTAAATAAAGCATTTTAGATGCCAGGATAATCACATTTAATGAATTTTAATGCCAATTAAGGCCTTAATTTAAAAAATAATAACTTAAGGACTTTTAATGACCTTTGGAAACCCTGAGATGCCATTAAAGATAAAAATATCATCCATCTTGAGTCACACTCATCCCCCTAGACCCCGGGCCGGGAATCGAGCCCCAAACCATCTTGCTGGAGGCAGCAGTGCTACCCACTGCTCCACTGAGCAGGCCAAGATTAAAATCCAACAGACAAAATGAATAAAAAAAGAAAAAATTTATGTTGAATACAGTTGGAACGATAACATGATGCACTATTTAAATTCAACACATCATCCCTTCATGGTATGGAAAGATCCCCTTGATAAAAGAGAAACTAATATATATTTTCATATTTCTGCTTAATAATTAATTGTTAATCAACAGATAAAAAACTGTCAACTTTAGATGAAATCATTAATCATCTCTAAAAACAACCGAAGCCGACCGACAGCCTGCGAATAGAGTCAAACAGGACAAACAAGGTCCGATTATCAACCAGGCGTATAAATATGACCCCCCATGTTAGAGAGGAGGAGGGCGGGGGGGGTGGCTCCTACAGCTCCCTCTATCCCAGCAGGATGAAGCGTTCTGATCTCCTGGGAATGACTCTTCAGGATTCCCAGGAATGCTTCACCTCCTGCTGCAGAGTCATGAGACCCTCACAGGTCTGAGGGCCTTAATCTGCTTAAAGCTCCTGATGATGATGATGATGATGATGATGAGGGCTGGAATCTGGAGAAAGAGAAGCTCTTTGTGGGATTAAAGAGCAGCAGGACATCACGAGACCTTCAGCCTCACGAGCTCTGCTCAGGAAACCATTATAGACCAGTTAGACCAGCCGCCATCTCAGAACTAACACCAGAACATCTCTAGATCTGAACCCAGAACATCTCCAGATCTGAACCCAGAACTAACACCAGATCATCTCCAGATCTGAACTCAGAACATCTCCAGATCTGAACCCAGATCATCTCCAGATCTGAACCCAGAACATCTCCAGATCTGAACCCAGAACATCTCCAGATCTGAACCCAGAACATCTCCAGATCTGAACCCAGAACATCTCCGGATCTGAACCCAGAACATCTCCAGATCTGAACCCAGAACATCTCCGGATCTAAACCCAGAACATCTCCAGATCTGAACCCAGAACTAACACCAGAACATCTCTAGATCTGAACCCAGAACTAACACCAGAACATCTCTAGATCTGAACCCAGATCATCTCCAGATCTGAACCCAGAACATCTCCAGATCTGAACCCAGAACTAATACCAGAACATCTCCGGATCTGAACCCAGATCATCTCCAGATCTGAACCCAGAACATCTCCAGATCTGAATCCAGAACATCTCCAGATCTGAACCCAGAACCAACACCAGAACATCTCCTGNATCTGAACCCAGAACCAACACCAGAACATCTCCTGCTCTGCTGATTTGATCAATAACCCCGGCATAATGACGTCATGGTTGGGTTGTAATCAGAATAATAATCCAGTCCTAATCCGATCATTAAATATTTTGATTTAACGAGATTCGTTAAAAGTCAATAAATTAAAGCTACTGAAAGGAGGCAGATTAAACCGGAACAAACTGCTCTAAATTCGGCTATAAATGTCCCAGCAGCGGCTGGGCTGACCAACAGAACCGGAACCGGGCCACCATTCAGCGGGATAAGTGGCCCGGAGTCTGACGGTTAGAACCTAACCCGGTTCGGACTGCAGTAGCCTGGTCGGCTAACCCGTCCGTCCGCAGCTGTTAGCCGTTAGCTTGGCTCGGTCGGTCGGTCACTCACACATAGATGATGGACATGAAGTGCATGAGCCACAGCACCACGAACAGAACCAGGCCGAACACCGAGAAGCCCTGCAGGGCCACATCCAGCGGGGCCATGCTGCTCCGGGGGGGGGCGAAGCGGGGCTGGGGCAGGCCGCCTCGGGTCAAGCTAAAGCTCCGCTCGGACAGGGACCAGCTGACCGGCCTCACAGCGGAAACAACGGAGGGAAGAGGCGGGTGTGTTCAGGCCGGAGACCAGGCCTCCTGCCGGGGGAAAGGGTTCAGGAACCAGTCCGGGGTTCGACGTTCCTCCAGCCGGGATTCCTCAGGCTGCGAGTCCGATGGGCCCGGAGGTTCTGGAGGTTCTGGTTCCGGCTCGCAGAGCTGCTTTCTGTTGTGTGACTGTCAGCAGACCGACCAACGGTCAGCTGACCAATGGGGAAGGGGAAGGAAGAGACGGTGGAGCTTACCGGAAATCAAAAGGGCGTTTCCGTCTTTTTCCCTTTCAAAATAAATGTTTAAAAAAAATATTTCATCAACTATTTCGTTTTATTCGAATATTTTACTTTAGTGTATATCCACTATAAAAGGAGTAAATGAAACAAACATTTTACAACAAATTCTACCAAAAATAATCAGAATATTTATCATCAATAATGTAAATATTTAAAAGTAAAAAAAAAAGTGAGGATCTGTGGAGCAGACAGAAAATATGGCAGAGAACAAACACAACCAAAACTTTGCTTAAAAATACCAGTAAAACTGAAACTTATTGAAATAACAATTCTTAAAGTTCCAAATATACATGCTCTATTCTCAATATATAGAGCTTTAACTGTCTGTTTTCCACATAAACCCACCAGTGGGTAGCTTTGGATTTAGTGCCTTGCCCAGGGGAAGACTGACATCCACAGGAACCTGGAACCAAACCGAGAGATTCTTGGACAGCCACTCCTCCCATTGAGTCACGTTTACCTTTTCCTAAGTAAACAGGCTTCCCATTAAGGCCGACAGGTGATTGTGTTTACCTGAAGGCCCTGAAGGCAGCATGGAAACAGGTTGCATCACCAGGTGAGTCACAGACAGTGAATGAAGCCCAGACAGGTAACAAGTGTTTCAACACCTGAAACTGTTTGTTTCCACCGAGCACATGCTGGAGCTCAGATCAGACTCCACTCTCGACTCCCCGGCCCACATTCAGACCTTTCTGACCCAGACAAACACCTGCAGCCAGTTAGAGGTGAACCTGCAGGAGCCCAGGTCAGGTTCTCCCCCTACTCTGCAAAAACAAAATGTAAATAAGTCCCTTTTTCTTAATTTAACTGAGGAGAAAAATGAGAAATTTGCCACTTGAAAAAGACAATTGACATTTAAAATAAAAGAAAAACAATTGCATTGTTTTATTTTAAGTGCATATTATCTAATTATCTTATTTTAAGAGTAAAAACACTCATCTCATTTGCAAATCATCTTATTTAACAACTCAAATTAAGGGTAAATACACTTATTTGAAGAAGTTTTAACTTATAGTTTTTTTTTTTTCAGTGTAAAATGGTCATACTGGGACAATACTGGGTTGATTTAACCTTTAACCCTTTATAGGACACTCAGTGAAATACTTTGAAAATCAAAATTTTAATCCAATAATGTTATTGAAATCCAGGACAAGACCTTATTACCTTTGTAACATTCAAAAAATCTGGATATTTTTATGGCAAAAATTAATGTCATTGTAACAACAAGAACTTCCC